TATTCACAATATTTTTTGTGTCCGTTTAATTGTTTTTAGTTATAAAATTATTATATTATATAGGTCCCAAGAAATTTTTTTTTTATTATTTTATGTACCTAAGTATATATTTTATTGAAGTTAATACATTTTAAATTATAGATAAAATCTTTATAATTTGCTTTGCTTTGCTTATATGACCGACCTAATTGGTCGTTTCCTATCCTAGGCCGTAGCCTATCCTAGTGGGATAACTTATAACTTATAAGCGAGTTTTTCCCCAACTGACATCTAGTCAGTAATCTCTAACTATAACTGCAGACAAACAGTGGAGCACACTGGAGGGTTTAAGGGTAGCAGTTGCTAGCCGTGATTTTTTGGTAGGTGGGTGGGTGGACCCCCTGCCTCCAAAATACTTACATCATGAAAATTCGACTACTTATAAAAATATTGAAAATAAACTATTGAATAATTATAGACTATAGCCATTAATCTTTTAGCCAATATAGAGGTAGGTAACCGAAATATTTTGCTACAAATATTTATTTTTGAGTGTGCGCCACTGCAGACAAAGATACTACAACCATTGATATAGAATAGACGGTATATTCTATGAATTTATTATCCATGCTACAACTTATTTACAGTACAACAACTATAAAGTTTAAGCTAACCTGCCCGGAAGATATATTATTCAATCAACCAGGCGTCGAGGAAGATAATAATAACGCTATCTACCATTAAAGCATTGGACGCACGTTCTAAATGGTTAGAAAATTGCCTATATTTAGTTCCTTAAAAACGGTCGGTATAGAAAATACGATTATACGGCAGTTAGGTATACCTGTAGGTATTTTTGGGCACAAATTTCGTCTTCCAGTGATAAATCAATGCATCATAAAACTATTAATTATCTAGCGAAGTAGACAAAAATGTCATCAAACATCAAAATATAATTTTCCTAAAATTACTTAATGCACATCAACATTTTTTGTTTTTTTCATTTTTCGATGTGCCATGTCTATAGTATAGTATAGGTAAATAAAAAAAGTCGCACTGCTGTACAGTAGGTTACAAGTGGGTCACTGAAATGGATGGTGTTAAATTTGAATTCAATGATATAATATCATTGTATAAGGAAAACGGTTCTGAGTGAAAATGGTCAATCAGCCTATGATATTACTAAGTATATTTGATGATAATATTGTGAATAAAGTAATTTATATATTTACCTATTTACGTGGATCATTGCTTTCAATTTTCAATCCTTAGCTATAAAAGTTGAACATTTTATACATTTTTAACTACAAAATAATTATTAAATTTTAAATTCAATACATTTTGTCAAAATTCGAACATTAAATCATTTAATTTAAATGCTTAAAAAAAAAACTATGATTGAGGATTTTTTTCAACTACTATTGTAACAATATAGTAGGAGCCTTGTATTACATTTTCAAGCTTTTTACCTAACAAATAAAGTTTTATTGACATTCATAGAAAAAAATATGGGTAAGTGGATGTCGCTCTACTGTACAGTAGGTTACAAGTGAGTCACTGTATAATGGATGGTATTAAATTTGAATTCAATGATACAATATCATTGTATAAGAAAAACGATTCTGAGTGAAGACGGTATGTCAGTCTAGGTTTAAGACATATTATATAAATATATATGGTATTAAAAAAAAAATTGACCTATAATAAATTCCAAATTAATCATATCACAATATCCATTAGGTACTTATAAGTTATAACACGGTATACATCAATAACAAACCCTGATACTATCATAGATACATAATACCTAGTGTACTTTAGAAGTTTCAAGTAGGTACCGACGAATAGTATTATACACTCACAACAAAATAACTAAAATAGGTATGCTAGGTTTTTTAATATGTAATTTGGTCCCAAATTTGAACTTAAAATTACCATAAGAATAAACTGTGCTTGTGTATTTTTTAGATTTTTTGGTAACAGAATTAACTACTTACGTGGAATTTTGTTTTAAATTTTCAATCCTTAGCTATAAAAACTGAACATTTTATAATTTATTAATTACGATGATTGATAATTTTCGAGATTTTGAAAAATTCTGTCAAAATTCGATCTTTAAATGCTTATAAAAAAAAATTGTGCCAATGTATTTCAAATATTTTTCAACTGATATTGTAACAATATATCAGGAGCCTTTTATTATATTTTTACACTTTTTGGCCCAATAGATAAACTTTATTGATATTCATAGAAAAAAAACTAAAAAAATTGAAAAATGAAAATATCCGTAAACGGCTCAAAAAGAGTCAAAATATTTTCAAAATTGTATGGTGTATAGGAAATGCTAATATAAACTTTCAGTGAAATTTTCATTTATCTACAGTTATTCGTTTATGAATTACAACAAAATAAGGAAATCGCTACATGAGAAATCGAGTGAATATCCAATGTTGTAAAAATTTGAATTTTAAACGCTCATAACAATTTAATTTGACTGTCCGGTAGAGATTTTTTTATTGATAAAGGTAGACAAACTTATGAGTAATCTTGTATTACATTTTAAAATCTTAGATTTAAAAAGAAAAATTTTTACGAATCCTTAACTCAAAATAATTTGCTAATTTTCGTGATTTTTCGATCTTTTGTCAATTTTTGAACTTAAAAGGCTTATAAAAAAAAACTGTGACTAACGATTTTTAATATTTTTCATCTGGCTTTGAAACAATATACTAGTAGCCTTCTATTAAATTTTCAAGTTTTTTTAACCAACAAATAAAATTTTATTGATATTTCTAGAAAAAAAACTAAAAAAAAATGAAAAATGAAAATGTCCCTAAACAGTTCAAAATAAAATAAAATATTTTGAAAATGTTATCGTGTATAGAAATGCAAATATAAACAACCAGTGAAAATTTCATGAATCTACGGTCATTTGTTTTAAAATTACACCAAACTCAATTTTCTGAAAAATCGTAATCTTAATTTTTCTTTTGTTTTTCTTGGCGCTTTTGAAAAGTATTGGGAATTTGAAATTTTTGACCTCCCCAATGCACCAACGATATTCTCTTTCCAATCGAACAAGATACTGAAGTCGAAAATCGAAGCATTATTTCGACCACTTATCGTGTACACAGACACAAAAATAAAAAAATATAAAAACACACATCATTGTAAAATCAATACATTCATCGTTTCACTCAGAATCTAAAAGACTAATACAATTTGAAACTGGAAATGTTCCTAAACAGTTCAAAACAAATTAAAATATTTTAAAAATTTTATCTTGTATAGAAAATGCAAATATAAATTACCAGTGACAATGTCAAGTATATAGACTATATAAATAGGTACTATAAAATAAATAAATATACTATAAATACTATACATTATAAAATAAACTATGCTATTTTCCTCCTCCCTTATAAACTTTCCTAGGTACCAGTTCATCTATTTTGGGGACCATTCCATTATTGAGTATTTAGTAAATCACTATATACGTTCATTTGTTTTAGAGTAAACCAGAATCGATTTTGTGGATAACCGAGTTTGCGTAAAAATTCCTGTTTTTCCTTAATTTTTATGTTGTTTTTCCCATTGCTTTTGAAAACTATTGGTAATTTTACACGAAATTTATTATTAAGAGGGGAAATAGGGCTGAGCATGTTTAGAAATGAATAAATCTAATATAATCTAAGATAGTCTTTTACATATTGTGTATTTATCAGGTAAATACTAGGTACAATGCATACAATTAAATAAATAAATATTATTTTCATTTTTAAAAATTTCTTGTTTTTTCAATGCTTTAAATAAAGTTGTGATTTTGTAATAGACTATAAATACCTATTTGATATTTCTACATATTTTTAAATCCAAACCCTAGTTATAACACATAATTGTATAGTATAAACATGATATTATATCTGTTATAGCCTTATAGGTACATTGAAACTCTCCAGATATGGAACATAAATATTAAATAACAACAAAGAAAAAAAATTTCATATTTTAAATGTTAAATCCAGACATAAGAGAACCATTAAATGGCTGATAATATTTTTGTACTACTTTGTTCATCATGATTTAGTTCTTGGACTTAAAGCTAAACAATGAGCACATTTACCTAATGCCTACTTGTACTACTAAATAACAACACCTTTTATATTTGTAATATAATATATATTGATGACAGTGGCATATTTAGTGTTTTTTTAGGGGACGGATGACAAGCATTTTATCTTAGATTATTATATGTCTTTATAATAATTATAATGCATGTGTATACTACACATGTATTTAAAGAGCCATGTGGGCGGATTTCTCCTCATATCCACCCCTGATTGACTTGTTAGTTCTTTGATTAATGGGCATTCATTTTCACCATAGTGTGTAAGGGGTAAGACTTAAGACAAACGCAAGTGTATTACTATGTATTGTAGTATTTAAATGTGAAGTTTGAATATTTCAGTTATTAAGTAATACACAATACGCTCACAGCTTAGTCATGGTTAAATTATTTAAAATTAAAGAATTAAATAATCTATACAATTATTGCTTTAATTCACTTATGGACTTGAGTTAAAATATTTTACGCAAAACACTGAACATTAAGCATAAAATAAATATCAAGATATGATAGAGGTATGTTGTAGTTAGTGAATTTTTAATTTATATCTAAATACAAGGATAATTTACCATGGACAGGTTAGGTAAAAATGTAAGTATAAAAAACATATTCCTAAATAACCATAAAAAAGATAATATTAAAAAAAACCGTAAGAATGAGTAACGAAAAAAAAAATTGTATAATATAAATGCATTATTTATGAATGTTTATGAATAATTAATAAAATATAAAACTTAAAAGGTTACATAAATAAACTTAATAAATAATTATTTCACCCATTATTTAGTTTGAATTATTATTTAATAATACAATTTTGATAAATATAAATATATTGTTTTAATGTTATTTGAGTACATTTTTATAATAAAGTATTTTACTTTATCTAAAAACACAATTAAACTTCATCCTTCTCTTTTGCACCGTGCTTCAAAATACGTGTGAATTCTATATAGTTGAACATACCTTTGGAAATAGGAGCTTCACGATACATTTCATCGACCTGAAAAATTAAATCTTTTAATCATATTTCAAAATTGTTTGAACCTCTTCACTGACAATCATAGTATAAGTGCACTAGCCGACTACATACCTTACAAGTAATTTTAAAGCATATATTGATATATTATGTCTAGATTATATAATTCCAAAATGAGATAAAGAACTTGTTTCTATTGAAAATTTACTTAGGAATATTGATAAATAGTAAAGAACAATTGAGTGTAGTATTAAAATGTAACACAAATTGGATTAAATACACTACCAGTATTATGCTACATATTACAAGAGTAATTTTCTGGACTTTCGGGTTTAAACCGTTCAAATTACTTTGCAGTTTTAGACATTTATCTAAATTTCTAAATAATTAATAACAATTAACAGATTCATGTGATAAACAAAGCTAAGTAATTAACGCCATGTCCTAGCTCATTTGTATGCAGGGAAAAACAAGACAGCTTGTATTTCGCCGCATACAGGCACTTTACTGCGGTGGAACAGCATGGTCCAAATAGAAATCGCATGCACTCGCCTGCACTAACAAGGACATTATTTATGTTACTATAATATGATGTAGAAAGATATATGCATTGAAAATAAATAACAAAACTCAATGGAGATAAAGGTGGGACAAGAGAAAAAAAGATTAAGACTACACTATCAAGCAGTAATAATTCTATACCTATATCACTAGTAAATTCACCTTAATTATTAGATTTTGCTTTTGAAGTTTAAAAATCAGGAGGAGCTTTTTAATTGTATTTTATAAATGTTTAAATGTATAATGGTACATTAATAATTTTGTTATAAGCTGTAATTATAAATTTAATTAAAAATACATACGTCTTCATCTGTGAACCTATCTCCCATAGTAACTAAAAGCTCTCTCAGACGTTCTTCATTAATTACGCCTTCATTGTTTTCGTCAAAACAACCAAAGGCGTTTTTTATTACATCTTCAGGATCTGTTCCTTGAAGTCTTTCTCCAAATAATGTCAAAAACATTGTAAAATTAATTGGGCCAGGCGCATCATTCATCATACCTTCCAAATAATCATCAGTCGGATCTTTGCCTAAAAAATTATTTGATATTCATAAAATATGTTTAATATTTATAATACGAATAAAAAATGTACCTACCTAAAGAAGCTAGCATATCATGCAAATCTTCTTTATCAATAAATCCGTCCCGATTTTGATCTATCAAATTAAATGCTTCTTTAAATTCTTGTATTTGTGCTTGCCCAAACATGGCAAACACATTTGACGTAGCGCGCTGCGCTCGTTTCTTTGTGGTTGCCCTCCTCACTGCCGTTTTCCGTGACATGCTTGATTCGCTCTAAAAAAATAATAAACCTTTAAATTAAAAAAAACTCATGCACATTACGCTAATTAAAGTTTCTGAATTCATCACTTGTTTCAGTATGATTAAATAATTGTTTTATTTCAGACAATAGGTATTAAAATGTGAAAGATTTTACATTCTAAATTATTCACTTATTTAATATGCTTATAATATTAAAATTGCACTATTCCTATAGTTGTTCAAAAAAATATTGACTTACCAACCAAATGAGTCATAGATAGGTATTTCTGATAAAAATATGAATGATTCATTGACATTCTTAAAGGTATTTTATAGTTTGGTATTATGTAAGATTATAAGAAAATATGTAATAAATGGATACTTCTTATTTCACCAATACAACTTTTGCTTATGCCGTTTATGGTCATCACTAAATTGCAACAGTTTTGACCTCTTTCATGTCCATAATAATATTAATATAAAACTTAATCCTAGAACACACGCAAGGTCTAAAAACCAGGATTTAGGAAATTTGTTTGTTGATTCGGGAATTTTAAATATTTACATAATCTAACCTAAGTACCTTCTAATTAAATGATAAACTAAAATTAGATATGACTTCCAACTATATATGATCTGATGTCAGTAATAAAGTTCTATGGTAATATAGGAGACCCAGCTTCCTTGTACCCGATTAGAAAACTAAAGGATTTGAATGAAATTGCATTAAGACATGCTATAATTTCTACATAGTTTTATGATAAATTTACTAAAATAAAATATTCCTTAAAATATAGAACATTTTTAATCATTTTAAAGTAGGGTAAAATAACATTCAATTCTATATTATAGAGACTCAAGAGAATGTCTAAAAATGTTTTACTCTCGTTATTACGTCTTTTTGCTATCATTTTCAGTCTGATAAAAATAATTATTAAACAAAGAATAATATAACAGTGCAATGCTCAGAAATATTTTATTGTCTATTCACAATATGAGAAAATATTGTTTATAATTTATAAAATGTGTAAATATTATTAAATTGTTGTTTCATTTGAAATTTCTTAGACATTTTTATAACATTAACAGTGTTATCGAAAAAAAATATGTTTTAACCTATTAACATTCAGTAAAATGGAATGTAGTTAAAATATGATAAAAAATAATTTAAATGTCAACATTATTACCTGTTGACTTTTAAATATTATCATCTTAAAGATATTTTGTAATTATTTTCTCTATAATTATGATTCAGAAAAATAGGTACCTAATTAGGTAAACCGTATAAGGAAATTTCAAGGACGTTTTTATGTTTGTCACATACGAGACCACGACGACATGTCGTCTCAGAACTGACGTAGGACAAACTCACCGAAGAGAAACCGTTCGAAAAGACAACGATAATTAAACATTCGTCAAATGATTGAAACATTCATGTAGGCCAAACGATAAAAAAATAACAAAACGTCAATATTATCACGCCGTGGGTAGTCATTACACATGGGCTAGAGGTGTTTTCGCGCGGCATACTCACAATTTTGAAGTCTAAAAAGAAACGGATTGCAGGAAAAAATGGTTTTTCGCTGGGCGTTCGGTCGGCGGGGGCCACGTCGTAGTGTAGTAGCGAGCGTTTGACGTACGGAATGCGAATGAGTCCGTCCAGCGATGGCCGTGGTACAAGCGAATGGACGAAGCATAGAGTAAGCGGACGAAGCGGCGGCGGCGTGAGTCACGGTAACGGACGGATGGGCGGGCGGGCGGTGGTCGATTTCTCGCTGTTGATGGTATTATTGTTTTTTATACACACATTCGGTGACGATGCGATAAGATGACGCTGCGGACGAGGCGTTATCGCTCGCGGAGGAAACCGATCGAGGCCGACCGTGGCCGACTACACCACCAGTCGGTTTCACTCCTAATGTGGACACACTGAATTCATAATTTTTTTTTTTTCCCCTTTTCCGTGTGTTTTGCCGATATTCTCTGCCCGTCTGGACTCCGGTATGTTTAACTATATTGTTCGATAAACCTCTGTCCCATAGTATCTAACAATTTAGATTTTGTTTCCCGACTCTGATTTGTCGTCCAGACCCGGCACCACACGTGCAATGAATTGATCGGTTTCTTGGGCGATTTCATCTTGTCTCTCATATGCCAGCAGCGGTGCACCGACAAGCGAACGACACACCACCCCGAGAACTGCCCACAGACGATAGTTTGGCGCGTGTTTGGATTTGGACGTCAACGGCCCCTCGCGGACTTTCGCCATGATCACGGTAAGTGAAAACCCACGATCCGTCAAAATCTATCGACGATTATTAAACTGCGCGTGGGCGGGTGGGGAAACGAACTCGCGTGAATAAAATCGTAGAAAAAAACCTCGCCCGATGCCGGTACGAAGCGCTATTAAACACATATTTTGCCTTATATGGCAACGGCGTCGTGAAAGTTCCACTCGGTTTCCAAATGATACTTTATATGGTCATGTTAAGACACTTAATACCGCCGCCGGGTCCACTCGTGCCGCGGCCGCCGTCCTTCCCCTCCCCCTCTCACGCATCAAGACGGTTGTTTCTGGAGCCCTGTGCTATTGATTTTTTGCCGTCTTGGGGTCTTAATAACGTGGTGCTTATAGTGTAACATTGACCTTGACCCTCCTGTCATCAAAAACGGCTGCTGTACGGAGGAGACTCCCGCTGTCCTGGAATATTATTATTGTTATTCTTATCCTATATATAGGTCCCCTGATGTTTTGTGTATTTTGCTACAATTCGAGTACGTTCAACCGGCCGATATAATATTATTTTCGAGTATGGACGGATTTTAAATTGAAACTTTTAGGAGGTACCTACCTATACATTTACAGTTTTATCAAATTTACGCACATAGGTACACTAAATTTTAAATTAAAAAAATTTAACCTATTCTTTCATAGTGATTTTAAAGAATGACAAATAGTTGAAATAATCATCTTATAAAAAAAAAAAAAACATGAAGGTGTATCTTTTTTAAAATTGTATTAAATACGACTATTTCCGAGACTACATTCACATAAAAAATAAAACCATGATGTTCATTGTTATTTCCTTTATTTCCTTTAAACCTAATTTTACTTATTTACACATCTTGTGGGCCTTGTGATTTTTTTTTTAATATTATTCATGTAATATATTATATGTATCTCGTATTCCCATAGAATACCTGTCTTGTCAAGAACAAAATTCAAAATGTCAAACTTTTTAACTAAAGGTGTCTGACACCTTCATGCCTCACCCCAATAAATGTATAGAAAGCCTGCAATTCCTTATTCAATAGTAACTATCTATGTCAAAATTGGTGATCGTGAATTTTTTTTTTTGGTAGTCATAGTATGGTTTTAAATAATTTTGGGATGCACTGGCTAGATTGTTTATCGCTTAAAATGTTAAAATTCTAAAAATAGATGAAAATGTGGTCAATTTGCATTTTTGGTACTTGACACTTGGTGTAGACCCTGCCACCCCAGTATAGACACATCATTCTGGTAGTCTAGTGAATCATAGTATCGACTCACAGAGTCACCTATTTTGTAATCCAGAAAATTATACTTATTCAATTGCTACCAGTGTAATACAATCTTGATTTTTTTTTCAAATCGGTCTTAAATCCCCTCCTTACCAAAAGCTGAAATTATACACCTGATAATATAAATATATTATAGCCTATAGGTATTAATCAAAGTATAAAATGGGCATCTCAAATAATATTCATAATATTTATTTCTATAATATATAATAAATCCTCATTTACCTAGGTAGGTACTAGAATATTTTATATAAATATTGTATTAATATTTTTAATTTATATCACCGTTATATAGGTAAGTGGGTATTGTATAGAATATAAAATATATATTTTTATTCTATAATTTACTATTGCCATTAAAGAGTAATGGGTATTAGTTTATTTCCTTAGTATGACTATATTACATATAATATTATAAGATGTATGAGCTCGTGAGTATACATTACAAATTCACTTCACTTTAAGCGGAACAAAAAGTGAATGTAGTGTCATGTAGTGTGTTCTCAACAAATATAAAATATTGTATGTTATGAGTACCTTATACTTGTTTATTTAACCTAGATAATGATACTAATAGGTTTACATTACAGCTGACACCTTTGAGTTGATTTTCTGCTACCATAATTAAAATAGATAAGTAACCTATCCTAAGTTTTAAATATAAACACCAAAAGTCCTACAGATTAAAATGGATTTTTTTAATTTTTAAAAATGAACTTTTCACTTATGTATGTAATAAAAAATTGTCTTAACTTGTTACTTTACTAATATTTCTGATTAAATACATTCTAAATTACTATGTTTTTGATTTGTTTAATATAAAAATCAGGGATAGCTACACCTACATTAAACAAAAGCATATGTGATTTTAACATTTTTATTATTTTTTTTATACCTTAGGTATAGAGTGGTCTGTATAAACAATAAAGGAAATAAACTATTTAGAGTCCTTGAGCCTAATATAACACTATTATAATAGTCACCAACTAAATTCTCTAAATATGGACTCCCAATCGACCTTTCTTATTTTCTCAGAATAATTTAAATAATAAACATTTGCATGTAAAGTTTGGATATTATGTTAAACCATGATTTTATTAAAAAAATATATTTGGTATTAGAGCAATGAAATAATAAATAATTCAAGTTTTACCTTACCTATACAATATACAATAAATAAATAAATAAATACCTACATTATGATTATTTCAACACTGAACACTCAATAATTCAAAAAGTACCTATTTTATTTTTGAAAATCTAATTTGGTAGGTACATGCAATTTTAACATTTTTTATTGTTCTTATTTTTATCACTTCTGTGTTGATTGAAACCACTCAGTTATCATCTCTTAATTTTTTAATGACGGCTAAAATTTTTATACTTTTTACCTGAAGCAGAATATTTTGATCAAAATGTGCTTTTATACCAACCATAAGTATTATAAAAAATTAATAACTAAAAATAATAACCCTATATGTTGTTTTATTTTTCAACACAACTACACAAGTTTATTGTAAATGTATAATAATATGTAATACCCGGTTATATCTATGGTTCTAAATATGATGAGTAGATAAGTAGATATCAATATAGTGCTTACTTTTATTGATTTGTTTTTAATTTAAAATCAATTAACTATTGATTATCTATTCACTTGTTTTGTTTTCTGATAAGTAGTGACTTTTTACTAATATCCTTCAGCCAACACACCATCCTTAATAATTATGATTCAATTCTTCCCTGCTAAAGTCTGTTCAATAGAAGGTTGACAGTGTTGACACTGCCTTTCATTACTTTGTACGTAATATTCAGCAACTATTCTTTTTAGTTCTTGCACTCTTACCTCCTTTTTATATTCATAACATGCACTATGCTTTTGGCTATGCTAATAGTTTCTCTTCTTGATCTCAAAATATGTTGTTAATTAGTCAGTTTATGGTTTACATTATAAAATAAACTATGCTATTTTCCTCCTCCCTTATAAACTTTCCTAGGTACCAGTTCATCTATTTTGGGTGCCATTCCATTATTGGGTATTTAGTAAATACTATATAGATTTATATTCTATTTTTATTCTTGTAAAAAACAGATTTAAATATTTAATTATGCACTTAACATCTCTTTAAATTCATGGAATTAATATTGTGTAATAAGTAGGTATCATTAAATATTTAGAATAGAAAAAAGAACATTAAATGTCATTTTTATTTTTTTTTTACATTCTTTGAATTTTAATAACTTAATTCAACTAAGAACAACTAATTCAAATTATTTCCTTTCATTTTTGTACATTAAAATACTCAACTTGGTAGGCAGGTAATACAAATTATGTAGATATAGATTATATTAAAGATACATTTATCATTCATTATTATACATTTCTGACAAAATATTTAAGTTTTATTTTATTCCATTAACCATAATTATTATGATATACAAATACAAGTAGTGATAGTTGAAATTTGAAACCAACCAAAAATTGATCACAAGACTACAAAAAATGCTTCCAAACACTTATATTAATTATGACTTATTTAACATAACTCACAGCTCACTTTTTTTTACAAATTAAATAATAATTAAATATTTTTATAAACAATATAATTTAAGTTTATTCATATAATAATATTTGATCAACTTAAACTTTTACATAGGTACACATACGACCTGAGTTCTTTTATTCTCCATTCTTTAAAATGTGTTACTTTTCCGCTTAAATTATAATTCTAACTTTGTACATTAAATACGAATTTATATTTACAATAATAAAAAAATTTACAACTATCTTAAACCATTAATTTGGAACATTATCGAATAGCTACGCCGTTAATTGTTACAGTGGCTCCAGAGTGGTCTGATTTTGCTTTAGAGACGGGTGATGGCTCATAGTAGCTGTTTGGTTCATCATATGTATAGTCTGTTACCGAATCATAGATATGATTCTGTACATCACTTAATGAAGCGTATGACATGACTGCTGTATTCTGTTCTTCTTTGCGTACTGCTCCTTCTACATTTTCTGTATTTTTTACTGGAGTTGGCCGTTTTCTAATAAAACACAATATAAATTGATTTTGGGTGATATTTATTTTTATATGTTAATATAATATAATATAATTAATATAGTTAATTTGATATGTTAATTTTGAAAATACTCACAATCTTAAATAAATTAAGGCAAGAAGTATGACTAGGAATAAAACAATGCCACCTCCGACAGTAACAGCTAGACCTAAGGTTCTGGTGTCACTTATTACTGCACTTATGGCTACAAAAAAATAATTTTATTATTATTATTATTTTTACTGTGGCATACGGTTAGTGTTAACTTACACTGGCAATATGGTTGTTCTCCTGACCACTGAGCGTCGTCCAAACATTTTCTCATGTAAGGACCCATTCTTTGGAAATGAGGTACACAGTGGTATTCTGCCGCGCTGTTGTATGTCGTGGTATCGTTCATTATTATGACTCTACCGTTTTCGATCGGGCCTGGATGCTTACAGTCGACCACTAAAGTTTTAAAAATATCGTAATAATTAGGGAATATCTTGTTGTTATTATTACTATTATTTACTTTGACACGTCGGTGGTCTCCCGCTCCACGATCCTTTTGGCAAACATTGTCTCGTAGTGTTGTCTATCGTGAAATATCCTCGCGGACACGTGTATTCCGCTATTCCTCCGACTGTTCTCGACGCCACCCTCACCGAGAGACTGTTTTCGCTCTTGAGCTCGTCACAATTTATTTCTTCAAAGGCCGTCGAAATACGTAAGTTTAATTTTGTGTTTTGGATTTGATTATATATTATATTATTATAATTTATATCTTACCTTGACATTTTGGCGTTTCCGAACTCCATGTGCCGTTTTCAAGACACAATCTTCTGCCGTGTCCGTCGAGTTGGAAGTGATCGTCGCACTCGTACAACACCGCCGAACCGTAATACGTAACGTTGGATACTAAATTGAATTTCCCGTTGTCGATACTCTCGGGAGTTCCACAGTCGACATCTAAAAATTGAATTTAAAATATATACCGAGTGAATACTTATTATTATTGCTGATAATATTAATTAAGACTTACAAACGCATTGTGGTATTACGCCTGTCCACGAACCGGTGTCGTCGCAATTACTTATCGGTTCGCCGACGACTTTGTATCCTCTTTCGCAGCGATATTTTACTAGAGCGCCTATCTTGTACGTAGACGTTGAAACAGCATCAGATGAAGTCCTTATCAAAGTCCGTCCGTATAAACGATCGTTACCTGTCACCGACAGTACACTGTGTTCTGGTAAAATTGGTTCCGGGCATCTTATTTCTTAAAAAAAAAAAAACCAAAAATAAATTGCATAAAATAAATTTCAAACACCTCATCGTTTCGATCGCAGTAGTTCCTGTTCCCCCTCGATTATTTCAACGAAATAATAATTATAATGTGTCTGTTACCTTCGCATTTCGGAGCGGTCCCACTCCACGCTTGATTTTCAAGACAACGTCGTATCGCTGTTCCGGTCAATCTGTAGTTGTTACTGCAACTATATTTGACCTCACTGTCGAGGTGTGTGGAGTCGTTGGAATAGTGTAACGTACCGTAAACTGGCGGCGTGAGTTTACCACAATCAATGTCTGCGTACAAACATAGGTATATTTTATTATAAGTTATAACCTATGAGTATAAGGCTTAAATGCGTGTCACGGATAATATGTGTACATATATAATATAATACAGCGAATTTCGCTAAATGTGATCACCAGTTAATAAAATCTCGAATAAAATCCACTGTTTATTGGCAACCACTAATAGTGTCAAACCACTCAAACCTTGACCTGCACTACCGTGATAACTGGCCACATTAATCGAAAATTAATCGCTGTTGTCAATAAGTATGACATTTTGTGTGTATGACGCATAGGTTATATATGAATTATTGTTTGTTTAAACTCACATTGACATTCTGGCGGTGTCGTATTCCATTCGCCGTTGTTGTTGCACTGCAACGTGGTCGTGCCGATCAATTTGTGACCGGGGTCGCAGTGGTATTCGATGCTCGAGTGGATATTGAAGTCATAGCCGACTACGTAACCTCCGGTAGGCACTTCGGGCTCTTGACACGTGATAACTATCGGTCCAAGAAGACCCCAAAACATTTTTTTATTAGTAATTTTTTTTTAATTTAAAAACGACTCAATTATTATTATATAATCTTTATACTCACGTTGGCACGAGGGTGGGTCAGCGGACCATTTCGCTTCTTTAGTACAGATCTGTCGGCGGCTGGTGTGGGGCTGTAGCCAGTAATCTTGTTCGCACGTGTACTCGACGATGCTACCGTGCGTTGTGGAGCCGTTTACTAGCGAAGCCAGTCCGTTTTCGATGATTTGTGGTGGTCCACAGTCCACGAACCGACACACCAACGGTTTGCCGGACCATTCACCTCCGAGTCCGCATTTCAACTCCTTCATAGATAAATAAATAATAATAAAAACCATAGAATCCCAGTAAAATCAAAATGGCATAATACAGCACGACGGACGTAACACTGACCTGTTGTCCGCCGACGGCCACAAATCCCTGATGACACGAATAGACGGCAACGGATCCGGCTTTGCGACCTGTAGCGGTGACGGCTGCTCCTTGAACTTCAGGCGGGTCTCCACACCAGTCGACTGCAGTCAACAGTTGAAATATAATTAACTTAAATTGTGTTCATTTATATAGATATCCCAATATTATACCTATAACCTTTCTTTTAAAAGCCTGTATAGTCACAACTAAATATATATTCATATAATTATATTATAACATACAATATTTCTTAATAATTTAAATGGTTGGAAAAAAGTTGTTACTTGGTAAAAAAGAAAAAACAGAGTTAAGTAAATAATTTAAATTTAACCTAGCCCTATTATAACACTTTAATGTCCAGCCTTGCGGCGTCGCCCACCCTGTATAATTATATATACTTACATAGACATTGCGGTGTGCGTCCACTCCATTTTCCGTCTTCGTTACACGTCCTCTTAGCGTCGCCATTTGACAGACTGTAATTCTGGTTGCAAGTATATTTGGCTGTTGATTTGAACGTCGTCGTGCCGTTGTCTTGCAACGTGATGGTGCCGTTTTCTATACTGTTCAACGGCCCACAATCGACATCTGTATATGTTTATATATTGTATAGGTATATCGTTGGTATATAGTGATATTATGCAATGATCTATCAGATGTTTTGGATTTTTTCGGGCTTTAGGTTACCTTCATACTTACATTTGCACGTCGGCGCCGACCCGGTCCAAAATCCGTTAGAACCGCACGTCCTCTTGGCCGAACCCTGTGTGGCATGCCCTTCCGGACAGACGTACTCAATCACCGATGACACCTTAAACGTATACGGGCTGGCGATCGTACTGTTCACCTTGATGTCGGGACTCCCACAGGTGGTCGGTGCTGCGCATAAAAAATTCGTGAAAATTAATTTTTAAACTGTTATTGTCAGTGTGGGGAATCTCTCTCTACGTGTTGGGTTAAGTTACGCGTTGTATCGACACACTCACTGTATTGACAAATCCAATGTAAATAATCTAAATTGCATCCCACGTCGTTCCACAGCCATTCACGGCCTCCGTCGAGCACCACGCAATTCTGTTCACCGTTGTAGTTATTAGGTTGATCTTTTCCCCACGTAGGTTTCGTTATCACGTCACCTGCGGCAGATAAATCGAAATGGTATAATATTATTAGGTATATACTTCTCATTCCCCGTCCTGATCATAATAATATTCATGTAATTTTAAACATGGTAATATCCTTACCGTTGACCCATTTCCACGTCCTGGATGTAAGGCCAGGTTCTTTTTGCGCACCGATCCATATCAATTGGGTTTTGAGTCGGGATTTCCGCCGCTCGAGCTCTGCGGCCAGAAACGTGGACGATGACCCGCGGAAACCATACACGATGTCGCCGCTGGTTGCCTGACATTTTTGCCGAGCTTCGGCAAAAGACGCGCCCCGGTTCACGTTGAACTCGTAACACTTATTGTCGAAAACGGCCACGTCCGTTTGCGCGGATGAACTGCCTGGCGCGCAGCGATCGATGGAAAATTCTATAAACAGTTTCAACATGACAATAAATATTATAGTTACGTATAAAAAAATCTGATATAACATTATGACGTCAGGTTACGGTCAAAGGTTGAATTTTTTATTTACCCCAAAATAATACCATGTACCCATAGGTAAAGGACATAAACTAACCTTCGGTGGAATAGACTTCAACTTCACATAGGGACAGCGATCCCTCGACGCCTACCAGTTGTAGGAACACGTGCTGTCCAACTATCTGACGCGCGCAGCTAAGGATTTTCGTCGTGCCTTCCTCTAAAAAAAAGTATAATCAGACCAACCACTACGCTCAATGAGAGTTTTTTGATTTATTGTATGTGAGTTTACCCTCTATATTATAGAGGCTTCTGTATTAGATCTCGGAAAAACTTACCGATAGTTCCTGGAAACCAAGAACACAGTGGGTTCCTTTGCAATTCGGCACTGCTATTCCCGACCCTGATCTCTATGTCCTGTAAAGGTTGGTGACCTGTATACACGATATATATTTCGTTAGTAAATTTCTAGATACATTTTATTGATATAATATATCAGTACAACCACTAACAAATAATAAATACGTGATATTATATTAAATTTGTGAATCGCGGTCGATTGTCCGCTTTTAGTAGAAAGGTCGTTGGGTATGTGGGCTGGTTGTGGGAGAGGGTTGAAATAAATTATAATTATTGTGCATTTTGAGCTCTGCAAGAAAAAAATAACGAGTACTCGACGGTTAGTTTGAAGGAATAACTATATATATATTTCCGAGAATTATTGTATCAAGGTTCAATGTATGTAGTTAGGTAGAGTGGACCTGGCCGTGTGCATTTTTTCCCCATTATAATTATTATATTATTATGTTGTATACACAAAAAAAAATGTTAATTAAATTGGGTGTGGCGTGCAAATGATCCACATAGTCATGTTCCTCTACTGCACTGCAGTCTGGTGAAGGGCAAATATGTCCTTCGCTAGTTATAATATTCTGATGGCTAGAATACGAACAAAAACGTTTACCCGTGCGAATTGTAGTGTAAAAAAAGTCGTGGGCGATACAGCAGTAGCGCGACGGCGTCAGGTTCATTACCATCGTTACTCGAAACTAGTTTCTGTATACAAATATGAGGTACCATTTGTACGTCCCATAATAAGTATATGATATACAGTCTCCTACACAGATTTATTTTTTTATTGTTATTGAATTATTCTTTTGATAACGTCACACGTCTCATTCGTATTATAACTATAATGCACACACACCACGTAGGTTCACATGCAACCTTCCGACGCGCGGTCAAAAGATCGTATCAACAAATACGTTTCGGTTCTAAACCGCAATTAGGTTATAGGTACTCGTCGAAACTCGGGCTCGGGGTCCTTGGGTTTTCTAAGCGTATTTATATCGAAATCGGCCGACGGATTTCGTTTGACATGTTGGTCGATTTTTGCGTTTGAACCAATAATAATTATTATTTTGTTGGCATATTTTACTATTATTTTTTATTTTCACTGTCCACAGACCGAGGTCTCGAAGACCGCCATCAGCGCGGCCGCGGCCGGCATAGCGGGTCTGTGCTTCGTCGGCTACTGCATCTACTTCGACCGGAAGCGCCGCAGCGACCCGCACTTCAAGTCGAATTTGCGCAAGAAGCGGCTGATGGCCAAGGAACACGAGCTAGCCGCTCGGGCAGCCAAGTCGGCGTTCCCGGACTTCACCGACCAGCAGGCTGTGCAGCGGTTCTTCCTGCAGGAGGTTCAGATGGGAGAGTCGTACTTGGAACAAGGCGACGCTGCCCGGGGCGTCGAGCACCTGGCCAACGCGGTTGTGGTGTGCGGCCAGCCCACCGAGCTGCTCAACGTTCTTCAGCGCACGCTGCCCGACCCTGTGTTCGATATGCTCATCAAGAAGCTGCCGGAACTGGGCAAAAACCTGATGCGCCGCCAGCCGCCGCCGCAGCAGCCGCAACAGCCACCGTCGTCGTTCGGCGGTCCGGTCATCAGCGAGCTGGACGTGTCCGACGTCGAGTAGTGTTTCTTTTTTTTTTGTCGATTATTAATAAGTCGTTTCGTCGTTGCGATGATAATATTATTATAATGTTATTATGTTGTAATGCGCGTGTGCAGTGTACGATATCGTATAGAGACGCCGCCCTCGCCCCACCGGGGGGGAGCTATACACTGCCTCCCTACACCATCACGACTCCACCCTGCGCGTTTTTGTGTAATATTGTAATTTGATTATTATATTTTTGATTTCCAATAATAAATTTCTTAGATAAAAAATATATATAGACTGTCGCTGTAGAAAAGAGATTTTATTTATAAATGACGACGACTGTGCAGCGGTATTATAATACACGATAAATAATAATAATTATGTAAGTAATTTTTAGCCCTACTACAATCGGTCGTTGGTCGCCAGTAGTTTCACGACAGGTATATACACCGTGCACACCGTGTTCGGGGTCGGTGTCGGGGTTCTAGCACTATTTTAGAGGGTGACGGTTTTCGCGTAATCGTATTTTTTTTTTCATATCGTACAAATTAAAATAATATTGTATAAAATTGAACATTGTCGTTTACTGTCACTGCAAATTATTATCATAATGTATAGGCGATGTCCCGTTACAAACATTATATTATCAAATAAAAATATTCACGAAAAACTGCGTCGTATTGTCGTTATTACACTGTTATAATGTTATTATTATTATTATTATTTTTATTACGAATACGAGGCTAACCTAGAATATAATACGTTTTGCCGTTTATATAGGTAAAAAAAATTTAAGAAAATATATATTATATATTATAGTTAGCCCGTACGCGCGTGTGCACACGGGGTAGTATAGATGTGAAATGAATTCGGACGGTTATTTTTTTATTAGATTCGCTCGTCCACGGGCCGTTGTTTATATTTTAATCAAGAAATATTAAAAGCAATAATAATATTATACGCCATTTTTTTGTAATTTAAATAAAAATTTACATGAAACCATATTGTTGTTTTTTTGTTAGGTACTCGTGTCCGACGAAAAATATTTAAAATATAAATTATTCGTAGGTCTATAGCTATATATTTCAAATGTAGATGATACCTAAGACCGGAACTTTTTTACTACCGGTATCGATAGTATTACCTGTAACTATAGTAAGTATCGCGAATATATCGCCTAATATTATATTATATCATAAGAGCTGGGTGCATCGTTGAATATTCTGATTTTTGCAACATGTTCATTAGAGTTCTTTTTATCTAATAATTGGTCAGATCAGATACGGTGACAATGCGAGCGACGGTCTTTTTGGATAAACATTTTATGTTTATTGATGAAATGTGTTTGTTTAAGTTTTTGACTTCGCCTCATGCGTGTTTGTATAGTGACTATATTATATATGTACTCACCACAACATCCTCTGGTCGTGATGGACACCGCCCGGACCGGGTACGGTTGTAGCAGGTCGACCGACCACCACGGCGACGGTTCCTTGAGTGTTTCCGTACACCTCCGGCCATCGTGCACTGTCGTTGGGTCGCCGTCGTTGGCGTTTCCCGGACTTCCTCCCCTGGCCGTCGTCGACTGGTTGGTCGGCTTGTGCACAGCCACGTTAGTACCTGTGGATCCGAAAACGGTCGTGTTATATTTACATTACTAATAAGTAATAATCATAATAACATATAAGACTGCGTCGGACCACGACGAGTGATCTAAAGACGAGTCAATAATTTTTTTCCTGCAATTATTTATTATTTTGTTGTTAATTATGGTTTAGGGGAATTATTATTGTAGGTACCTATACTACATTAGAGATCCACCACAATCGTTAAAATCTCAAATATATTACTATTTATTGGTAAACAACATTTGAACTTTCATTGTTTTCGTGTTTCTTGATAATTTTGAGATGCCAGCTACTTATTAATTTATGTAAATATTTAAAAAATCAAAATACTAAGTTTCGGTAAGGTTTAAGGCTAGGCCAAACATTGATAAGAATACTATCTATACATAGATGATAGTCGAAAAATCCAATTGTTTGTTAGAACTCTCGTCAGCTTCTACAATCGATTACGAAATACAAAAAACAAAACATCGACCTATTTAAATATGTATCTGTAGTATAGTCGATATTATTAAACCGTGGTTATGTAAACAATAATTATTATAACTATTGTTTACTGCGGGCTTTATAATTAAAACGTAATAATTTATTCTTCTCACGACACGTAATTGTTGTTACAAATTAAATCTTTTCTTAATCCACGCTATAGAATAGAAGACAACCAATATAATATCAAATAGTAGGTAGATAGGCATTTTTTGTAAAAAAAAATATGTAGCTATGATATGGTTTGGACAATCTTGTTGGCTGTTATTTAGGTAGGTATAGGAGGTACATATATTGCCTTGCTACTGTGCCGAAACTTCATAAGTCTGTAATCACGATGAGAAAAGTAAGAACGAAAAATACTTTTTACAAGTAAAGGATTACAATTTAGAGTGCTTTCTTTATTAAGGCACTCCAACTTGAAACTAAGAAACGTCTCAGTTTATAAGCCACCAAACTAGGTTGAAATGTAATTATATATATGTATGACCAGCTACTATACCTATTGACTATAATTGATGTCTCATATATTTTCCAACTAAATCATAAAAATTATATTCTAGAATGTATTATAAATAATGCCGTCTTGATAATCCATTAGAAGCAGAAATGATTGTAAAAATTGTTTAGTATAATAACTTGATTTTGAAGTGGTAGAAATGTATAGAATACACCAAATGTGAAAAGAAACCTGCCTGGCAAGAGAGTCGACTAGAAAATATACAGGTGTATCTGAATTGGTTCCCGGGTTCTTACGAAGGGTATATCCGAATTATGTTAAAGCATTTTCAATTTTTCTTTCCATTTTATACGTATTTATAGGACTACAATATTATGCAAGTATATAGATAAAAACTGTGTTTTTGGTTTCAAAATAAGTGGTTATTATGTTTTTAATTATTATTAAAAATATAGAATAATTAATATAATAAGTAATAATATAAACATTTAATGTTTATTTGTTGTTTTTCTTTTTTGATATTTTATTTTACTGAGTTAAACATTTATACCTAACAAATATTACTCTATTAATTCCAATCTATTTATTTGATTTTATTAAAATTTTTCCATTTCTGTTTTTATAAATATGTTTTTACTTGTAGTCTTATACTTCAGAAATTTTTCTGTAGGTACTTCGTAGTTTAATATAATATGTTTCAATAAGAGCGTCTTTATCAGGAACCAATTCGGATGTCAATAATATTCAGGTATGAGAACCAAGTAGGTTGCAGAAAAATATACGTATATGAGTGGCAACAAATATAAACAAACTTAGCGTCTGCCCGGTATATAGGTAGGTAAGTACCTACAACTATTTCCTATGCATATGATTACATATGCAATATGCATGGATAATACCTATACCGAGTACCTAATTCATATGAGCATGAAATTATCGTAGGTACATATTATTGGAATCCAATCGTCATGAAACGCAGAAACGAGGAACCTAAATACCTAAATGTGAAAAAATTCTTGTTAAATATAAGTAGGTACGTTAATAAACGTTCACATTAAAAAATAAAAAAATGTTTGCGAACGAATAATTAGCATGAGATGAGCGTCTTTGGACTGTGTTGCATGTTGCATCTACTGCATAATAATAATGAATAATATAATAGTAACATGATGTGCCTACCTATAAAAATAATATGTTGATATTGCGTATACGAACATAATATAGTAGTTTCGTAATCAAAAAACACGCGTTCCTATACGAGTGTGAATGTGTGATAATTATAATAATATTGTATTGTAGGTACACTGCGGTTGTATAATAAAACTTTTTTTAGGAAAAAATTCATTTCCCGGTTCGTTTTTGTACTCGTGGGCGATACGCAACACGAAGAAGAAAAAAAAATAACGTTAATTAATACGATATACAGAAACGTCGAGTTAGCCGGTATTGTATATTTGTATGTAGGGTATTAAAATAATATATAAGGATGGTTAGGTACCTACCTACATAAAAACGGGTGG